TGCATGCATTCATGTATGTATAATGCAAGCCTACACGCACATATATATAATGCATGCATGCGTGTATATATAATGCATGCATCGATGCATGCGCGTATATAATATATATATAATGCATGCATTCATGTATGCATGCATCAATGAATGCATGCATGGATGCATACCTAATGCATGCATGCATGCATGCATGCATATCTAATACATGCATGCATGCATGCATGCATGCATATCTGATACATGCACACATGCATGCATGCATACATGCATGCATGCATGCATGCATGCGACTAGGAGGCATTCGGTGCAACTAGAGGGAATAACAAAAGGAGAAGGGATGCCGCGGCCTTTTTATTTTCTGGGGGCCCCAAAACAAAACACAGACAGCAGTCTGCTGTGATTAAAGGGGGCCCGGTGCATGCATGCGTATGTATGCATGCATATGCATATGCATGCATGCTGTATATAGAGATACTACATTTATATGTAAGGCCATGAAGCAAAGCAAAGGAGAAGCAGATGCATGCATGCATGCTGCATGCATGCTGCATGCATGCATGCATGCATGCATGCATCTCCTTCTCTCCCTCCTGTCTCCTCGCTAGCATAGAAGCAGCAGCAGAAGAGACAGACAAATCCGTCTGTATCTTTCTTTTTTTTTCCTTCTCTCTTTGTCTTTCCTTCTGCTGCATGCTGCATGCTGCATGCTGCATGCAGCTCCTTCACAGGCTGCTGTTGCTGCTGCAGCTGCTGCTGCTGAGGCCGCATCACGCGTCCGCTGCTGCAGCACGAGCTGCGGTGTACGTACACCTCAGCCTGCCCGGTGCTGCTGCCGCCAGCAGGGGTCAGCGCACACTGGGGGCGAGAAAGGCAACGAAAGCCGCAGCTTTTTTTTTTTTTTTTTTTTTTTTTTTTTTTTTTTTTTTTTTTTTTTTTTTTTTTTNTTTTTTTTTTTTTTTTTTTTTTTTTTTTTTATTTATTTATTTATTTCTGTATTCTTTCTTCTTCTCCCTCTCCTCTCCCCGTCTCTCTCTGCACTGCACTGAGTCAACAAATTTCTCGCCCAGCCCCAAATGCGGTTTGCATGCGCCGCGAAATGCAGAGGAAGAATGGTGCTGCTGCTGCTGCTGCTGCTGCAGCTGCTGCTGCTGCAGCTGCTGCTGCTGCTGCTGCTGCTGCAGCTGTTGCTGCTGCTGCTGCTGCTGCTGCTGCTGCTGCTGTTGTCACTAGCTATCGGGCCGTACATACACACAAAGAAGGCCCTCTCTACCTCGTGGCCTCCAAATCTGAGCCACGCTGTCTAAGTGCTGCAGCTCCTCTTGCTGCTGCTGCTGCTCTTGCTGCTGCTGCTGCTCTTGCTGCTGCTCTTGCTGCTGCTCGTGCTGCTGCTCTTGCTGCTGCTGTTGCTGTTGCTGTTGCAGCTCCGGTTGCCGTTGCCGCGGCTCCTGCCGCAGTTGCTCCAGCTCCTGCTGCTGTCTTCGTTGCGCCTGCTCCTGTTACTGCTGCAGCTGCTGCAGTTCATGCTCCTGCTGCTGCTGCAGCTGCTGCTGTTCATGCTCCTGCTGCTGCTGCAGCCGCTGCAGTTCATGCTCCTGCTGCTGCTGCAGCTGCTGCTGTTCATGCTCCTGCTGCTGCTGCAGCTGCTGCAGTTCATGCTCCTGCTGCTGCTGCAGCTCCTGCCGCTACTGCAGCAACTGCTGCCCCTCGCCCTGCTGTTGCTGCAGCTCCTGTCCCTGCTGCTCCTGTTGCTGCTCCTGCTGCATCTCCTGCTGCAGCTCCTGCTGCAGCTCCTGCTGCAGCTCCTGCTGCATCTCCTGCTGCAGCTCCTGCTGCATCTCCTGCTGCAGCTCCTGCTGC